ATTCAATTTTCTATGTTTTAATGAAAGGGGATTTGATCCATTGTAAAAGCGTACAGAATATGAAATTATACATAGAAGACACCGTAGAAGAGGTTTAGTTTCTTAGAACTAGATTGTTAGTAGTGATTACCCATCAAAGTTTATTGAAATAAATATTTAACATACCCGGCGTAATTAATAAGCCATAAATGGATAGAAGTAGAGTATATACATTGATCTTGGTTTAAAAAAATATTGTAGAGAAAACCTTTGGAAAAATATTTATGCAGCTTTACTAAGAGTATCATGCACTAGTCGTTCGTTGGTACTCACCTGTATAAGGGATGAAATAAATTTTTTGAGAGATTCAATAAAAATTAATTTATTCATCTGTTAGTGCAAAGTTAGGTACATGTGCCGTTCGTTGAAGAACATTATTTGATGCTTGAGAGGACACCTGTTAGTATGGGTTGGAAAAAACAACATAAAAGTTAAAGACAAGTACTCTGCAGCTTTTAGTCAAATATGATCGCTTTATAAAGGCCTAATCATCCAAGATAACATTAAACCTTCAAAATGTTGTATTGTAGAAGCAATGAAAATATGAAATAAAGTTATATTTTGTTAGTTAATATTGAATGATATAATAAAATTACCTGACTAACTAAACAAAATAACCTGATTATACATGATCATTTGTACACTGAGGTACATATCTGATAAGTTACTAATAGTTCTATCTCTTGTAAACTAAGCTCAGTGTATAATTTATTTTACAAAATACTAACATATTCATTATATCATTATTAGGGATTGACTATATGGCTTATTTTACATGTTATTCATCCTATAACATACAAGATAAAATATCTATCAGTTAAATAATGAGCTTAAACCAAAATATTATAAGTAACAAAACTAATCATATGGAATATTGAAAGTTTATTGTTATTTAATAATTCTTACTATTTACATTATATGATTATGTAATATACTAAATATGTAATGGTGTATTTTATTTTTTACATGAATTTCAACTGTTATTTTTAGAGTATGACACAATATTTAATCAAGGACGTTTATCTTATAATTGTTTATTATTGAAGGATGAAGTCATGATATACAATGGTATACAATAGTTTTGTATTAAAAACAAAAACAAAAAAGAAGAAAAAACAAAGAAAATTAATGACAATTGTCTTTCATTTTACTTCATTTATCTCAAATCAAAATAAAAACAAAATTGAATTGTTAAGAATGAAAATTGATTGAAATTAAGAAATTTTTTTAATATCAGATGGGTTTTGTGGATATTATAGTAATTTTAATGGTTAGGACCATGAGTCAGTTGAGGCTAGACCACCATGAAAAACCTGGAAGCACTGAACGGCCACTTTGTCCTATTGTGGGACTCCTCAGCAGTGCGCATTCACGACCTCTCCCCCTCTGAGATTCGAACCTAGAACCTACTGGTTTCGCGCGTGAGCAATTAACCACTAGACCACTGCTGAGGAGTCCCACATTAGGACGAAGCGGCCGTCCAATGCTTCCAGTTTTTCCATGGTGGTCTAGCTTCAACTGACTCATGATCTTAACCATTGAAGTTTTTTTGTTTGTTTTATTTTATTTCACTTTTATTTTATTTAAATCAATAATCAAAATAAAATTATTTATTGCATCATTAGATAATCTTTAGAAGGTTGTATTCAGTTACTAATAGGTAAATAAAACACAATTAAATAGACTATTAGTATGTTAACTATTAATGAAAGAAACATTGGTTTGTCTAAAATCTCAATTTGATAGATGACATAATTTAAATATAAATGTCAGTTTCATTTTCTTGAGGGTAATGATTAAAACATTATTTGGCGGAACATTTATTTTTGTATTTATGAATTGCTTAAAATGTTGTTACAGTATTTGCTTAAATGAAAAGTGGTACAGTTTTATAACTTAACATAAAAGATTTATTTTATTTTGCTATGAAACTTTCTATCAGTGTGTTTCATATGAATATATACATAAGAAAGGTGGTAAAAATCTTTAAAGACGTTTTTCCATATCATGTAAGTTAGAGAAACAGGATGATATATATAACAATTACATAAATTCAAGCTTTACATTAGATCTTCAGCAGATAGTTAAATATCCCAGTCTAATGTGAGGCTTTTCAATAGTTATCTAAGTTTGCATAATATAATAGAATAAAATTGACTCTTGTTAAGCTACTAATAGCATGAAATTCTCCTATTTATTTTATTTGAATAAGTTTATTTACTGATGGGATAATTACAAAGATTATTTAACTTGTGTTGTAACAACCACATTATCTTATAAACAATATTTAGTGTTTTAATAAACTACTCTCCATCTATATATACAGTTAGTAAACACTAGTGAAGGGCTGTAACATCTAACATTCATATGTAGCAACTGGTATTTAGTGCTTATTAACTTCACTTATGTATTAGTAAAAAGTAACAATATAATAATTGTGTCCTACTCTATTTCAAGACAGTTTTATATGATTATGGAAATGATATTTCTTCCTATTGAAGACTGTACCAAAATTTATGAATCTAATAGATCTTCGATAATCTGCATATTTTATTTATGATTTCATTCACAAATTTTGTGGATGACTGATTTTTAAGAATCTTACAGTAATTCACTCTTCAGTGGTTTAGAAATAAGTGATCTAACACATAGTCAACAAATATTTAAAAACTAAGATATTTTGTAAGCAGCATTATTGTAGTGAACGTTCACTAACATAGTTTAATCCATCGATTAGTTGTTAGTGTCTGTCTTTATCCCGGCTCAAACAGTATTCACATAACGAGAAACGTCTCAGTTCTATTATGGAAGTGATGTCAATAATTTTAAGAGAAAGTATTTTTCTAGGCATACGATGTAAAACAATATTCTATTCTTAATGTTGGATATTCAACAGTATGATTTGACATTCAGTGTAATTACGAATGAAAACTAATTATTGAAACCGATTTACAAAACAAATCGACATATGAAAGGGTTCATTTCAGTTACATAAATCGTGGAATTCACAGTTTTATCTCAAGTTTTGTTTAATTGTTCAATAATAGCAAATCTCTATACCTTCTCCAATTCGCAGTAATTCAGTGAATATCAGAATCATACAAAACTGAAAAATGTACAAGCTGAATCTATTTTCAAACTGTACAGAGGTTATTGTTTTTGGAAATGCTATAATGTCGTGTGCATTAACTTGAAACATTCAATTGTCTACGTTTTGGTAACAATGCTTCTGTGACTTAATAAATTCCCTTCCGTGTGTTTAGTCGATGCCCTCATTGATTTAACTGTCATGATTTTAAAATTTTACCATTGTTTGGTGTTCTTCAAGATCTAATATAAGGTATTTCTAAGAATATATTGAGTTCTAAGACTGACATTTTTTGAGGCGAACTATTGATGTCTTACTAAAAACCAACCTTTTTGCCATGCTTTTTTCGTATAATTGCGTAAACAACTACCGCTTACTCAATCCTATCCCCAAAAGGTAAAATGTATGATCAGTACACCTGATGTTTCTAAAATAAATCTTGATGATTTTCTTTATAGGTGAAGAAACAAGTATAATTTCAAAGTCTTCTAACAGTTCCTATGCTATACTAGAGTTCTAATATATGTTTACAGCACACAAGATCTAACCGTAAAAGAAGATTTTAATCCTGAATTGTGGTATTTCTAGCTCATAAACCAACCGATTTATACTTTAAAGTTTAATAATATGACAGAAATTAGCATTTACTGACATTTTGAAATCTCCAGATATTTCATTCAATCAGGCAAGTTAGTTCATATGAGATACAAGTAAACCAGATGTAACAGGAAATCAATTCTGTTTATTAAGATTGATAACCCATTGCTTCATTTCTTTCAACTATCTAGTTTTTAATAATTTGAGAAGTAGTCAAACACAGAATAGTGTCCTAATATTATTGCTCTAAACAGGAAATATATGAGTCTTGGATTAGACTACATGTGTGATTAAGAGTGTGCCATGGCGAAGAATAGCACAATCATGTATATAATGATTTTCGATGGTTTGACAAATGATAAAGTTTGCGGTAACAAAGTACCATAAAATACATAAGTCCTTTAAAAAAGTTCCCTCTATTCAACCACTCAAAATAACTAGTTTATCAGTCCAACAGTATGGTTTAAGAGCTCTGAACATATTCATCTTAAATATTATTATACATATAATTTGTTCTCCTATTTTCAGGTTTAATAGTTAGCAGTATCATCAAATATCTTTTGTTAGAGAATCCATTAGTTCAAAAAATAAATAACTATAACGATATTAGAACCAACATCTGGGATCAAGCTTTTTTGTATACATTATAAAATAGGTCTTACAAAACAAAGTATACGTTTTTACTATAAACATGAATGAAGCAAAAAAAAAGAAATTATCGTTTCATTTCTCTTTAGTAATTAAAATGTAACAGAAATTCAATTCAATATATTTCGATTAATATAACGAATTAATTAACAGATTGCATCACAAAGAGTGTTCCACCATCAATATTGTATCATTCACTTTTATAGTATGTTTCACTTGTCAGTAAATACAATTTATGAATAATGATAGTGAATGAAAAAAAATGTTCATGAATGAATAGTTCAGTTTAGAATCATTTACAGAATAAATAAAGTATTAATTGTTCGCTTCTAATATCATGTATATATCCCTTTTTATTATTGTAACTCATAAGTCTTGTTGATTTGTTTGTTTTTATAGATCAATTAATCATGTTTTTAAAATCAATTTTATGAACAATGAACAAATATAATGACAACAGAGAAGTGTAGATAATTACTATTTACAAAATCAAACAGTATAAATTGTTAATTGTACGGAGTTAAGTGTTAAATATTCTATTGGCCTTGTGATATAAAATTGTTGATGTTTTAGATTTATTTATATTTCAGACATTTTTATTCTATGTAGTAATTGATCAATAAAATGTTCAATGCATATACTTTATGGTGTACTCAGGTGCAGTAGTAGCTATAGAGGTGGTGATCGTTAAGCTATTGGAATTACTATTATTATTATTTACGTTACTACAGTCGATTTCTTTGACACTAGATAATGGAGTATATACATGAACTAAAGATAAATTGACTGGTTGTTTGTCATAAATATCATTCATTGCACTATTTAACCAAATCGATTGTGTTATAGGAATAAAAGACATAGTTGTTGTTTCAAGACTGTCACCATTTCCACTATCTTGACCAAGCGATGTGAGACTATTTCGTTTAGACTAAAATTAGAATAAAAAAGAAACAAAGAAAAATATCTAAATATCAAATTCACTTTAGTGTTATAATAATATAATAATGTTAAAATGTTTACATGTAAACAAAATACAAATCCATATTTACCGTATGGGAAGATGGGAATTTTTACTATATTGAAATCCATATTTATGTTATATCCCAATGAGAACAATGAATGGTAACTCTTGGGACCCAGTAATGGAAAAATACTATACTTATAAATTTATCGTATAATTGATAAATAACTAAACTATTCATATTCGTGTTCCCCTTATCATAAGCTTTATTCTGATTCATGAACTGTTATTATGCGATTTACCATTCTTGAATTATGCCCGATTACTACCAATTACTACCTCCCACATTCACAGCCACATTTGGCCAAATCCTGTACAAGTGTTGTTTTCCATTTTATGGTACGATGTGGTCTGTGTGGTTTGTATATATACCTAGTATATTTGAAATAAATGATTGATATTGCAGAGGTTGTGATTAGTGTTCTAGAGTTAACAGGCTGGCTGAGCTAGTTTGTAAGTAGGACGGATAAGGACTGTAGACTGCTCGTAGTTGTTTTCTGCGTCATTGGTTCGATTGGTAATTCATTGTTCTTTAATTAGTGGTATCATTATATTATACATTATCAGGGAATACAGGCCACAAGTTATGTCAATTTCAATCATTTTTTTGGATGCAAAATTAAGATATCTGATTCTTATTGATAACATCTTAAAAACATTGTGAAATACTCTGGCAATCAAAAGGTAACAGGTCATGTCTGTGTATTACTGAGTAGTAACAGACTAGAAGAAAACAACTATTGCGGATTCAAACTAAATTAATTGGCTAAAATAATGATAAGTGAGATAATTACAAAATCAATCCATCATATCTATGTAGGTAATAGGTTTTAACACATGAATCCTCTACAACAGTCTACAATTTACAATTCAGTTTCTTATGTAGTCATATATGGATAACAATAATATAGATTAAGCAAATTTGAAATACAGATTGGTTATGTCGAGAAATGAATAGACATTTTATAATGACAGCATATTTTTCAGTTTATAAAGTGGTTTTGATTATTTAAATTATAATATCATTAATACCTATGATACTATCGTAGGATATTTGCTTGTGTTTATTAAGTTCTTAATTCGTTAAACATGTAATATCAATTAAACAATTTTCATTAACAATTTCTTGTTGTGACATAAGTTTAACCATAGTCATTTGTTATTAAATTGATTGTAAAAGTGAGTACGATGCAAAGAGACAATTGATTATGCCTTGTACTTTCAACAGAATAAAATCAATAGTTAAATTCGTAAATATTTTAGTTACTGAAAAACAGTTAGAATCATTGAATAAGTCAAAGATAATAAAATGAAAAGACTAGATGGAATGAAACTGAGAAAGTTGAAACATAAATCATTTTGAAATGGATGACCAACATAATAATAATAAATAATAGTAATACATACATAATAAAAAAAAAAATGAGCAAGCTAAAAGCACAATACGATTTACTATTCCGTGTGATAATTCATAGTTTCCGCTTAGGCTTTAATTTGTAATCAATATTTCAATTCCTTTTTTCGATATCACTCAGTAACATAAAAAAACTCGTGTTTGACTGAACGGTATGTTGGAAGGATATTGAAATTTATTTGATTATAATCACTGGTATCAGAACATTCTATTGTATTTTAATTATTTAGTAACATACTATATATAAATAGGTAAGGAATCACATACATGTTAGCTGTTAATTGCTTGACAAAGAGAATGATGTTATCAATTCATTATTTCCTTATGGAAGTATCCACACAAAAAAAGATATTCTCATTATTCTAATAAAAATAGTTACACATTGTTTATATAAAGTTAGAAATTGGGATTGATTAAACGTCAATTTCTATGGAATCTACTGATTAGAATGTGTTTAAATATTGTTTAGATCTCAATTAATTACTATGCACAATTTTAAACTGTCGGGAATTATAAAATTATGTAAAATAAGATTTAAATCCATCTGTTTGGGTTAATTTACAAAATTTTCTATGTCGTCGTATCGTTGTAATTGTTGTACATCTTATTTTTTAATATATTGGTTGAAATTAAGCATATATACCATTGGATCTCGGCTCAACCATCTAAAGGATAAGGATTTGCGCTCAAGACGAAAGGCTCAAGGTTCGACTCCTAGCTACGATGTCTTGGGTACCTACAGCTAAGGAGTCCAATGCTAGGACAAAACGGCTACTTAGCTTTTCCAGGTTTTTAGTAGTATTTATTTAGTTTAGATCAGTTAGTTATCTTAATGAAACTATTTAAAGCTTCCTAATTATGGCTATTACTTCTGTTATTCTCTATTGTAACTTGATACTGTTTAGGAATATGTTTTTATGTACTGTTTTTAGCTTTAAGCTATTCTTAAATTATAACCAATGATGGATGTTGGCTAGCAGTCGAATCCAAGGCGCGAGTTCCGTCCTATTTAGGACTCGTCAGCTGGATGTACCTGTATCCTAGTGTTGATGTTTACTCCACCACTCGAATCCAGTACTGTTCGCTTCAAACACCATCGAGTTATCCACTTAGCTACTGAGTTCTGATAGACACTAGCTTATGTAATGGGATGAAGTGTGAATTTATTTATTTGTTGAAAAATGATTATTATCTTTGTTTTTACTATTCATTGCTCAACATATATATATAACTTGATTAATTTTCATGTGTTACATATTTACCTTCACGTGTACCTACTTTTGTGTTTAAAACTGTATTTCGTTTAAAATTTTACCTACCAATATACAGGAAGTGACAATGCGTTTCCAACATAATTCCTGACAAGTGAAAAACAACCTGGTTGTTACTAATGGTGAGGAAACATGGAAAAATTCTACTCATCACACTGTGCTAAAATATTTGTGATAAATAAAATTAGCTGAAATTATTTCACATTAGTATATAGATACGTAATATGCTATAACAATTTGATTGGCATGAGAGTAGTATTAAAAAACCGCTTACATTCATGTATCACGTTTATGATTAAATTACGCATTAAATAATAGTTGTCATTTAACAATAGTTCAAATATCCTGTTATCACTTAAAAAAAGATATATTGTATTATACAGAATATAATGGAATATATCCGATTAATCATTGATTACTTAGTCAATTATAAGAGATGAATCACATGAGTACCTGAAATTTGTCATTCATTGAAAACTTCATAGCTATTCACAGTTTTAATTTAATACTTGATCATACTCTTCAAGAATATCGTATGATTGGTAAGTTTCGATTACATTGATATTACAAAACGAAATATAATTTTAAAACAAAAGCACAATAAATAAACCAATGTAATAAAGAGAGAACAACCTTTACTGATAAATAAGCATATGACCTTCAATAATTAAGTCTATTCAATGTTCTACATAAATTAACCTACATGAAACTTTGTTCTTATTCATGATCACAAAAATCTGGAGTAAAAACATGATTTATTACATTTGACAAATAGCTCGCTGTAGAGTAATAATCGCAATGAAATTGTTGTAACTGTATTCGGATATGAGAAGTTAAAATACAGACAATCAAAAGCTCATAAAATTATTAAATGAAGGATAAGCAGTGACTGGTCAACTTAGTACATATATCTCTTTCATGTATTTGATGATGTTGTTGTTCAGATAGTGTAAGCTTTACATTCAAACCATCCTCTCGGAGAAAACAATGCTTCCAAAAAAAGTTATCCTAAGTCACAAATATTCCACTTCATCTCACAAATGATCATCTCGTAAAAGATTTTAAACAACAAGTAAACTTTGTAGATTTTTCTCAGGGCTCACAAGTTTACGTTCAACCATGGATTATATCGATTCTAAATTACAATTGATATTTTGAGCTGAAATTGTTTGGTATTTTACCGGAATCTTTTCTCTTTTCTCCTTTTCTCTTTACTTCATTTATCTCTTTATTATGCCATCTATCTATGGTATGTTGGCCATAGGCTGCCAAGACTGAATTTCATGCTACATTAGTAATATTTCACTTAATTCGATACAAAGTTATTAATCAGTTAGATAATTACACATTGTACATTAAATTTACATTTTTCTTTTAAAAGTTACCTATTTAGTAACTTAGTCAAGCTATTATTTGTTTACGTATTTGTGATGTATACTTATCATAAGACTTAATTAAATTTAAATAATTCTCTATAGATAAAACAAAAGCATCATATTAACAGAAGAAAATGATAACCTTTTCATTGAAATCATGAACCGATCGATGTTAGACCACCATTGAAAGTCGGAAGCACTGGACGGCCGTTTCGTCTTATCGTGGGACCCCTCAGGAGTGTGCATCCACGATCCCGCTCACGGGATTCGAACCCAGGGCCTTCAGTCTGGCGCGCAAACGTCTAACCTACTGTACTACTGAACCGGCATCCAGTGGTGTCAATATATAACCTCAAACAATCCACGAAATTGCGTGACCATCTTCCATTGTACTGAGGTAGATACCTGTCTCTACCCACGAGCGGAATCGCGGGTGCGCACTGCTGAGGAGTCTTACAATAGGACGAAACGGCTGTCCAGTGCTTCCAAGTTTTCAATGGTGGTCTAACATCAATCAGTTCATGATCTCAATAAAAAACTTAATAATCTCCACAACCCCTACACAGAAAACGATAACTATTCAACTAAATAATGAACAAATCAAATCAAAACACAGTAACAAATAACAATAAAATAATTTTCCAAATACCTTTCATTTTAAATAAATTATTTCAAATAATTAATTATTATAAGAATTTAAAATTTGGTAATAATCTATAGAATGATACAGCAAGAACCTGGAAAGTTAAGATGAAAATGTTGTTCAATTGTCAATAAATATTATTCAGTCATGACAAGACTTTTAATTCTTACTAGAAAATTTATTGAGAAAGATTAAAATCTTAA